TATTTTTTTACACATTTATAATTAAACAAATTCAACCTTTTTAAAATGTTATGCAAGTATTAAGTAAACAAATATTAAGGTAGGTAAAAAACAATACATACATGTCTACCTACATAGTCAGAGGTAGGTAGGGGTTACACGATCATTGAAAATATATAAATATTAGACAAAAAAAAAAAAATTTACAAACATTTAAAACTGTGAACATATTTTAAAGTATTTTTTTTTACTATGATGACCACCTCACATGTTAAATTTCTGTCAGTTGTGGCTGTGAATGTGATTTAATTGTCCAGAATGTACAACATGACTCCCTAAATAACAAAAATTTACTAACAAAATACAAAAATTTGACCTACCCGATAACACTTTATAGGTGTTACTAGTTCCTATATAGATTATAATGACAATTATTTTAAAATATACCATTCAATTTTATTTGCATGAACTTTTAGTAAGGTACCTACCTATTTTAATTAAGAATCTTATATTTTAGTAAAAATAAAACATTTAAGTAAGATTGGTATTTTGTTTCTATGTTAGGAAGAACCTAGACAATCTTTTTAGCTAACACAAAAGGTGTGTACAAGTACAATACACTTAGTCCAGTAAGAAATATTCACTCTGAGGTAGGTATAGGTACCTACTAAAGGAAAAAATAAAAATAACTGTGAAGAGATCACATTCTACATTAATTTATTGAATTATAATAACATAATAATATTGTTTAATATTAGTTAGGTACCTTTTCCTACTAAATAGTTATTTTAATTTGTTTAAATTAAATAATATAATATAATATTTAAATTAATATTAATAATATTATTATTAAATTCAATTAAATTATTTGATAAATGATAAAAAAAAAAGCGGGCAATTTGAAATGGGCCAATGAGAACGTGGTATACATAAAGCGCTATGTGGCGTCCTGGGATTCCTAATACGCCTCCCGTCACCCGCCTGCCAAATACTGGTGGTTAGCCATGGATTCTCAAACTGCACCGCGCCGCCGAGATGTTTACACAATAGGCGCATGGCATGTGTTTTTTTTGTTACACGGTCTCTTATTCAATTCACAATTTAGGTACCAATCTAAAACTTTTATATATAACTGCTGGAGAACTGGAATGTATTATGGAGGGATCGTATACACATATACTGTATACTGTATAGTGTATACGGCTGTCGATTTTGTGTATTATGCAACAAACATTTGTAACAGACGGTGTGTTGTACCTACGTTTTTGAAATCAGTTTTGTGTTTGAATACATTTTTGTACAAGGAATAAGGATCTATTAAAAATGCCTTTAAGTAATAGTGATACACGCAGCCATAGTAAACAAATTGTTTATAATTTTTATGCATTTTTAAAAGAAGTGTCATAAAAACCGGATTTAACTGCCGATTTCTTTAAACACGCTCAAATACGTACCGGCGAAGCTTGTGGATTGTCAGAGCGCACTGTAAGACGTATTTGTTCTGAAGCAAAACATTCAGAAGATAAACCCGATGGATCAAAGTCAGTTTTATCATTCAAATCTCCACGCAAAAGCAACAAACGTGCGAAAATTGTATCAGAGCTCGACGATTTTGATTCAGATGTCGTTAGAAGAACGGTGCACGAGTTCTACGATCGAGGTGAGTACCCAACTGCGAATTTAATATTAAATATCAAATTTTAAAGTCCGCTTGAAACGTTACCAGAACTTCACCAAAAAATTAAAGCCTTAATTCCACGCGAAAAGTAATATTTGCTTGAGCAGATTGCTTTAGAGAATGGACACGAAGTAATACGGTTACCTCCTTATCATTGCCAATACAACCCAATTGAACTTATATGGGCCCAAGTTAAGAGTCAAGTGGCGAAAAACAACAATACATTCAAGATGGTGGATATCGAACGTCTTACCCACGAAGCATTAGATGCGGTAACCAAAGAGGATTGGGAGAAGTGTGTAAGACATGCCGAACAATTACAAGAATTAAATAACCAAAAGGAAATCCTTAGAGACGCCTTAATGAAACCAATAATTTTGACGATATTGCCTGATGATAGCGATTTCAGTGATGAAGAATCAGATATAGAGCAATTGGAATAACTAACTTTATTATATTTATATTATTATATTATAATACGATTTATTTTTATTTTATGTATACATATAATACATATTGGTAGATTGTTTTACAATTATTATTAACAATTAATAAATTGTTTGTATAATATATGTATTGAAATAATGTTTTAAACTAATAATTCTTTAAACCATTTTGTCCCATCATTCGTATAATAATAAATGAATATAATATACCATGTGAATAATTTAATTTAAAAATACGCGGTAATTAGTTTTGGAAATATAACGACCCCTGAGTGGAAATGGCCGCTAGAGTCGCGCCGGTCACCGGCCAGTTTTCGTTTCCCGGACTATAGTTTTAAATTTCATTTGGAATCCACTCTTATTAGGGTTGTGAGCGCTAGCACTTGCTCCTCACATCCTCGGTATTCCCTAAATCCAGCCTGCTCTATTGGTAACACGTCTTCGATGTATGGTTGTATACGTTCTAATATTATTCTTTCTAAGATCTTATACGTAACGCTCGGTAATGATATAGGACGGTAATCTGCGGCTTCGTGTCCGTCTTTCCTGGGTTTTAATAACGCAATCACCTTCGCTCTTTTAAATTGTTTTGGTAGTTTTGCAGTATCTATAATATCATTATAAAACATAGTTAGCCAGGTATGAGTTCTTGGCCCGCAGCTTTGTTTATTTTGGTATTCTTTATTGCGTTGCTTACATCATTTTGTGTGAAAGCAGCGTCCAGTGTTGGATGCAGCATTAGCATTTTCCTGTGGTTTCTTAATTCTATTTTTATTAATCGTTTATGCTCTTTGTCTACTGAAAGTTTTCCAACGCTGTTTAATCTGGCTGCTACACTATTTGGTCTTAAGGTATGCTGACCTTTCGTGGTATTATTCGAGGTGCCTAATTTTTTCATTAGACTCCATGCTTTATGGCTGGAGTGAGTAAAGTCTAGATTTTCTCGTCTTTTCACGCCATCTTTGTTTTCTTTTTGAGTCCAAGTTGTTAATTAATTCATCCGCAACGTTATTATCTTTTGACCTTTGAAACTCCGCATATAGTTCAATACACGTTTGGTCCCAACCTGGGATGAACTGCTTCCTGAAGCCCCTAGGAATGTGCTTTTTCGCTATTAGTTTTATCGCTCCCACGAATCGTTCATAACATTCTACCTTTGTTGGGATCCTGTATTAGGTGATCTAGTTCCTTGGCGTTTTCAGACCAGTTGGCTTTCCTGAAATTCCATTTTGGTTTTGGGGTTGATCTAATTATTGGTATTTTTAGGCCATACTCTAATACCACCGGTCGATGCTGGCTGTGAGGAAAATCAATGAGAATGCGACGCGATGCCATTTGCTTACTATCATTTGGAGGTTTCGATATTATGCTCAGACCTGGCGTGTACTCCTTCAGCCACCTTGCTGATCGAAAAGTTCCTTTGTCCTTTATACTGAAGACAAGTTCCAGATTCATTGTGTCTAGCCATTCATATAATATATCTCCGTTTTCATCATTTTCCTCATAGTCCCACGCCATATTATGGCTGTTAAAGTCACCCACATAAATGGCTGGGTGTTCAAAGGTTTTCATTGGATGACTCTCTCATTTGTTGTTTATACACGTTCGTTACAGTAATACTACCTATTTTCGTACTTGGATGTTTCCTGAGTTGGCTTTGTGAACTACCATCGTATCATCGATGTTTTATTTAACATACGTAGCTATGCCATACTGCTTGTGGTGTATCGCTCCAATTACTATATATCCTGCGATGCAGCCTCTTTTTTGAAAGTCATTGTCATCTTTCGTGTGTGTTTCTTGCAAGGCAATTACATCTATTCTTTCCTTGTTCATGATCTTGGTTAGAACTTCACACATCGCTTTAGAAATTCCTTCAATGTTGAAATGACAGATCCTAAGATCTTTACCAACATTAAGCGTCAAGTGGTCCTTAAAAGGACCGTTTTCGGTTGACATTACTGCCGTTTGCTGATGATGATTTGAAATGCTGGGCATCAGCGCATAGTGGTGGTATTGATACGTTAGTTATTTGCTTGATCTCGTGGATTTTAGCGGACTAACGTATGCAGGGAGGGCTACAATCAAGCTACCACCATCCTCCCCTATATACATATTATATTAACTGATAAAAGTTAAAACTTTAATTCCAGATGCACATCCCACCCGTAAAATACGATTGAGAACGTTATTTTTGGTAACACGATTGAGAACGCTTGATATATTTTGTTTCCAACGTTGCCAAATGTAATCGAAAGATAATTTGAGCACGATAATCGGCTATCGAACGATAAAGAACGTTTACCTTTTTGGCTGAACGATTGATCCGGTTGATATTTAATTTTATCGGACGTTTATCGGATGTTATTTATAACTTGGATACCAGATATACGAGGGAATGATTTAATAGGCGTTGTAGTCGTCACACAAACGTGAACGAAGTATTCGTCAGTTTATAAAATATTATATTAAAATATATTATTAAATATCATAATATATTAAAATTTTAAATTACTATTCGTCAAATAATGGAAAATAATGAAATTAAAATTATACGAAGTGAACGAGATGAAGATCTAGTACTATTAGATGGTAATAAATATCGTTTTATTCGGAAACGTAAAGACACACGGTTGAAATGGAAGTGTTCAAATAATAAATGTACTGCAAGTATTCTAACAGACTCTGAAAAAAAATTATTGATTCAAAGACTCGGTAAGCATTATCATTCCGATATCCCTACCTCTAATATAAAACGTCAAGTTGTACGTGAAAACTGCAAGCGAAAAGCCGTAGATTGCATTTCAACAAAGCCGAATAAAATAATACGCACTGAACTTTTAACAGACAATTATTCGACTCTATGTCATAAAGACTTTAATACGATTAGGAAAACCATGTACACCGAACGAAGAAAATATTATCCACCATTTCCTAAGTCACTTGATGAAGCATTTACTCAGCTTAAGGAAAATCAAAATGAAAACAGTTTAATGTGTACAGGTCAACAATTTATTCACGTACCTGACAATCAACTGTTTATATGTTTAACTAGGTACAATACAAAATATTGAATTTATGACGACTTGTACTAACTTTTTTGGCGATGGTACATTTGAATATGCACCGAAGTATTTTGTTCAGCTTTACACAATTCATTGTTTTAAAAATGGCCATTGTGTGCCTGTAGTATATTTTTTTTTAAATGACAAATTAAAAGAAACGTACAGTAACATGTGGAAGTTTATTGTTGATTTATGTTTTAAAATGACGAACCGAGTGTTAAACATTACTAATTTGCACTTGGATTTTGAACTTGGAGCCCATAAAGCAGTGGTAGAGATGTTCCTTCAAGTTAATATTATTGGTTGCAGATTCCATCTAGGACAATCATGGTGGCGAAAGGTAAATTAAAAATAAATTATACTTATAATTATTTTTTTATTTTAATTTTTAAAACAGTAAACTTTTAAAATTAAAGTATATCATTTTCATTGAAACATTTATTTTTATTTTAGATAAATAGTGAAAGTAAACTTCGAAATACATATAAAAATTCTGATGACGCCCTAGGAAATTGGCTAAAGATGTTTTTTGGTCTTCAATTTATAAAACATGACAAAGTTGAAGATGCATTCGTAGAGTTAATCGCTGTTTGCCCAAATGAAGAAATTGACCAAATGTTTTTAGATTATGATTTAAATAATTACATAGAGCCTGGCTGTCCGTTCAATACGAAATTGTGGGCAATGAAACCTTCGGAAAATCAAAGGTAAGTTTCAAATAAACTTGGCCCACCCTGCTAGCGTCACAAGTTATTAATTTTTAAATCATAAAACATTCTATTGATGATTGTCGATTGATACTCCAATGATAATAAATACAGAAACCATAGACGTATAGAAGTCGGTGGTAAGATAATATAACCATATATTATGACAAAGGACTGGTCAGCTGTTGTCATAGAGTGATAACCATTAACGGTTTAAGATAAAGATAATATTAATCACGGATCACGGATTAGTGACTAGGTACAGTTGTAGATAAACAATAAGCATGAACTATCTTTAGAACTTTCCGAAACTAAGAATTTTTTGTGCTCTAAAAAAGATAAAAATGGACACTTCAACAAAAAACAAATTGAATAAGTATTTATTCACAAAAACTGTTGATACTAATGTAAGTTATATACTAAATAATAAATATTATCTCTATTATTTGTCTATTTCATAGGCTCATAGCTAATTCTTAAAATCTTAGTTGTTATGATTTATGAAGTATAAAAAAGTATTATAATTTATAGGTATTAAAATTCACCAACCATTAATAGGTAGGTATAAAAAATGTATTTTTATTTATTATTTCATTTTAGAGCAAACGTAAAAACAACGAGAGTACTGATGAAACAATTGAAGAACAAATAAAATCAATTGATCCGAATATTTTCATTAAGAATGATGATGTAAGTAGAAATTGAAATACCTACTTAATACAATTTAGAAGTTCATAAAGATTGTTTTTAAATAAACAAACTGCATAATTTTATGATTACTTCATTTTAAATTTGATGTTTTATACAATTAATAATAGTTTATAATACCCAGTAGGTACCTACAATTGGATTTCAAAATAAATATTCTTTTATTTTACAATACCTATAAATTCATCATTCGTGTATATAACTTATAAACTACAGTGATTAAAATATTATTATTATTAATATTTAATTTAGAATCTATATTATAGTCCATTGGTGGACACTTATACCAAAACAAGTTACAAGAATGAATCAAACACTTAGGTATTCAAGTAATAAATTATGATAATTTTATTTGTATTTTTTTTTTTTAAATTATTTAGTTTTGTAATTTTGTGTTTGTTTATGCAAAATAATTATTTCCTAACCATTTAAATTGCATATTGAGTGTTTTAATATTTGTGTTATTGTACTAATTATTATATGTTGATGCGGACCTCTGGGGTGCCGCGTGGATGGTGGGTGGAGGTAACCAAAAAAAAAAAAATGAGCAAACGAAAAAAAAAACAGAAACACTGATGTAGTTCGGTTTTTATTTAATTATATGTACAATCATTCAATTAATTATTGAGAAACGGTATCGGTGTCCGTCGGTTACGGTGTCGTCAAGTTACAAATCGCGAGGTCCGTGTCCGGGTCGTTGAGAAAAACTAGTGAGTCACTAGTAGTGACTTGGACAAGCCGGTTCACCGAACGGCCGGCCGACGGTTCACGGCGCGGGTGTCGCGCGCCGGCGTCGTCAGTCGTCGATTGGCAGTTTGTTTGAGAAGCCACAGTGCGGCTTCCGCGTAAAGGCTGTTTGAATTCAAACTGCCATTACGCGGGATCGCGTCATACAGTACTGGTTCCCGCTGGAGCTGCGCCGTGGTCATCTGCCGACTGCCACACCGCGGCCGTGGTGGTGTTAGTGCCCTCCTCCAAGCTGGCTGCCCTCAGCAGCTGCTGGCTGCGTTCCAGCAGTTCCGCCGCTTGTTGGTGGGTGGAGGGTGTTGTCGGTCGTTGTGGTCGCTCCATTTGGTGGTGTTATGCTGTTCCGACTGAAATTATGTACACAAAATGCTATTGTGGGTTACGGTTGGGGGAGTTGGGTGGTGGGTGTTTGGGGCGCTAGGGGTGTTCGCTCGTTTGAGGCAGGACACGTGTATTTTGCGTGCTGGCTGTTGGTCTGTGATGAACACACCTTTGCCTACGCGTTTGTGCAGTTTTAACGGTCCCCAACATTTTGGTGCGAAGCCGGCGTGAAACTTTTTGTGCGCGCTTGACAGGTGGTGTGCCTTGTAGTACACCGTGTCACCTGTTTTGTACTTTGTATCCATCGGGCCACCTGTTACAGGTGGTGCGGTCAGTACGTTGTTTTCGCGACTCACCCTATCCATATTTATTTGTTCAATCGGGTTGTCCGCTGTCCGCGACAGTATCCAGTCCCCCGGCCTATTGCTCTCTCTCTCTCGAGGACGAGTACCGATGGTGGATATCCTGTCTGGTCGTTACGTCTGTTAATGATCGAAAAAAGTATGTGGGCTAGCTTGGTGTCCCAGGTGTTGTGGTTGCCGTCGGTGAGTACCGGTGGCTTTTTTTAGTTCCTGGTTAAGGCGTTCGACTGGGTTAGCGCTTGGGTGATATACCGGAGTTGTCCAGCCCTCGGGGCTCCCCACCTTTCGATCGCTTTCCACATGTCGTTTGCTACAAACTGTAGGCCGTTGTCGCTCAAGCACACACGGGGGTATCCGAAACGTGAAAAGAATTCGCGTTCGAGCGTTTCGGTTATTGTTTTTGTAGTGGCTGTTCCGAGGGGGTATGCCTCGGTCCATCTACTAAACAAGTCCGTGGCGACCAGTATATATTGTTTTCCCCTACTCGTACGCGGGTAGGGGCCCATGAGGTCTATGCTAATCACCTCCCAGGAGTGTCGTGGTATTTTGGTGGTCGCGGGGTCGTCTGCGCGCGTGTTTAGTGGTTTGGTACACTCGCATACGTGACACGACTTGACGTACAGTCGGATGACGTTTTTCTGGCCTTTCCAAAACAAACGTTGTTTGATTGCTCTGTACGTCTCTTTTCAGCCCGGGTGGTTTGCTAGTGCGTGATCGTGGTATGTCCAGATCACGATCTGCGTTTTGTCTTTTGGGATGACTACGGGTGTGTGTTCGGCCAAATTTATACGCAGAAGACCGTCGGTAAAAATATAATTATTTTTTTTTATCCGTAATACTTCCGGGATCGTGAGCTGTGTTGTCCGTTGTCATGTTGTCTACTATGTCTCGTATATTGGGGTCATTGGACTGTCATGTTACGAGCATAGCGTGTGTGATTGTGGGACCACTGGTAGTGTCAACCGGTTCCGTTGTGACGAACAGATTGTCGGCCGGGGAGCTAGTAGAGGTGATGTGTGGTGAGGTGGGTACTCCTACTAGTCGTTCCTCGTCTACCGGGGGGCCAGTGGTTTGGTTGCGGGAGAGCATGTCCGGCGCCTCATTCTGTACGCCGGGCACATGACTGGTTTTGTAGTCCAGGTTAGCCAGCTGTAGTGCCGGGGGACATGGTAAGAGCCTACACGTGGCGTCCCCTGCATCGCGATATACAGGGTGATTCATTTAACGTAAAACACTCAATATTTCTCAAAACCATTTACTTTTTTCAAATTTTTTTTTTTCAAAATTTTAGATCCATGCTGTTCTAGAACTATATCATTTTTTTTTATTTATCACCCCTATATTTATTAGGTAAACCCAATCTTGTAAAAAGATACTATTAATTTGTATTTAAATAGAGATACAAATACATCAACTTAAAAAGTATTTAAATAGTATTTAAAGTACTTTTTTCAATAAGTATTTAAGAACAAATACAAATACTTATTTTAATACATTTGTTTTAAGTTTTACCTTTGGGTTCAATACTTTTTCTCTGATATTTTAACTTTAAATTTGACCATGAGATCAAACTCATTCAAACTGTACATATTAATTATTATAATTATATAGTTAATACTTAATAGTTCATATATTATAATGCATGTTCCATATTCTGATACTAACCAAGGTACCTATAATTGTATAATAAGTTAATAATCACGGAATGATCGTTTTAATTATTTATTGTATGAGAACTAAATAGATATTATAAGACCCTTTATCTCCACAACAAACCTAGGTTCTGGAGAAAATAATTTATATATAAATGCTATATTTCTGTAGTGAAAATATTTGTATTAATGTATATATTACGTATGTATACTATTCAATTATTCAACAGGAAAAAAAATAAAAATTAAAACAAAAATTAATACCAAAAGTCTTTATTGGATTTTAAAATCATAATCTTTTAAAAATTGTCATCATTCATTTTGCCTCTTTTTTTGGACAGCACAGCACCTACGCAAAATACGCTCCCGGCCGGACTTTTTTGCCGAATTTTTTCGTTTTCTCCGACAGTTTCGTCTTTTCGCATGCCGTTCGTGGATCTAACATCATGTTGGTTTATGGGCTCGTTTTAGGTTCAGACTTCATAGATCATAGGTAAACGTAAAGTCGTAAACCGAATCAGCTGATCGAGTTTCGCTTCATTATTGTTCTATGTTTATAGTTTGGAGTTTCAAATAATTCACATCACAATAAACTAATATAGGCTTCAATGAAAAAAAAACAATAATATTTTGCATTTTAGGAGGCAAATCTTATGTCGGGAATAAACTTACAAAATTTCAATGATATTACTCATGACTATATTATTTAGTCATGATATTACTTTGATTTCTGAGAAAAAAGATAATAAATAACCATTTATTATTGAAAAAAAATCGATAAAGTATTTAAATAAAAGTATTTGATTTTTGAGGCATTTTTGAGGCAAATCTTATGTCGGGAATAAACTTACAAAATTTCAATGATATTACTCATGACTATATTATTTAGTCATGATATTACTTTGATTTCTGAGAAAAAAGATAATAAATAACCATTTATTATTGAAAAAAAATCGATAAAGTATTTAAATAAAAGTATTTGATTTTCAAATACAAATACGTCCAAAACCGTATTTAAAATACTTTCCAAATACTTTATTCAAAAAGTATTTAAAAAGTATTCTAAATACAATAAAAGTATTTAAATACATTTACTCAAATACTTTACAAGACTGGGTAAACCACTATCAACTTATGATTTTCAAATGACAACCTATACTTAAAATTTCATAACCTAATGAGGCTATTTTTTTAATGACTTCACATTTAAATTT